TATAGATATAGATATAGATATATAGCCCTCTCATTACACAAACAAAAATAGATTTGTATATGTATCCGTATACATATGCACAATTATGGCAACCCATCGCCCCATAATCCACGCAATACGAACTGTTTAATTCGGGATCATACGTCATACGTGCACACGCACACAATCGCACAGTCATGGATACATGCAAGATAACACAGGCAAAGATGAGAGTGCATAGTGTACGCGAGAAAGAAAGACGCTTGCATGCACGCACAAGTTCATGAACACTCTGCCTGCGTATTTAGACTTTGCTGAATGAGCGAGATACGTTCTCGTTCTTTGGGTGTTTGGGACTTGACATGCTGCTATATCATGGTCATTAGGGTCATGCCACTGATGCCATAAAGCAATTCCATATAGTCATATTCCTGAGCGCTGAGGATATGTGGCTCGCCGATCACGCCGTGTAGCAGCCTTCTGTTGGTTTTGGGATTGCTTTGAGGCCTGCATTGGCTTGGGACAAGACAAGCCAATAATAACAAGTCAGAAGCGACCAAGCCAGCAAGCCACGAAGTTCGACAGCTGGAAGCCATCAAGCTGCAAAGCGGACAAGCCCCAAGTCCAGGAAGCCCCTAAGCCTACGAGGCAAACGAGCTACGAGAAAGAGCAAAAGAAAAACAAACATGACCTAGTTGTGCTCCTAATCAATGTCTCTGCTGGTTGCGTCTTGTTCCTAGTTCTGAATTCTACTTTTTCATACACACAATCACCCGTCACCCCTCCCCACCCCAGTTCAAGGTGCTGGGCTTCCGTTCAACATCGTTTGATCTTGCAATCCAGAACATGCAAGCATCTGAACAGCGACCTCCGCCTCCTGCCAGCGTCGGACGGCCCCCATTGGGTCTGCCCGAAGCAGGTGTAGGGGGAGCTGCAGTCAAGTACACACTGCTGCAGCACCAATTCCAGACAGCATGCACTTTTTCACTTAGTTTGCAGGTTGGCCTAGATCTGTCTGAAGTGTTACCAATCCATGCAAAAACAAGGTAACGCCACGCGAAACAACCCGCGCGAATAGCAGGGGTGCTCTTTAAGGCAGCAAAATGGAAGTTTTACCGAGGTACCAGGGAAAAGGGTAACCAGGGAAGCTCTGAAACCCAAACCCCCCACTTTGATGTGGGTATATCGGTACTATCCTATGCCTCCGTCAGACTGGCTAAGCAAGGGAGTTCCTCGAAGGCGCTTTCGGGCGCGTTGCGCAACTCGGGCACTAGCGGTCTTCCCAAACTCGCGCAAGAAACTGGCTGAGTATTGCGATCCCGAAGGACACCCCATGATACCCCGCATACCTACCCCAAGCGAGTAGTCAGGCACCGAAGTTCCCCATGCGCACGCTGGCGCGGTGCGCAATCGGGCGTTTGCGGTCCATCCCTTCCAGGGTGGCCTCTGGTCTCGAGCCACAGCTCGACGAGGGACTTATCAAGACCAAGCCTCCAGCAAACACTGGGTTGTTACTATTAGCACTTCGGGCAATGAATAACAACACCTCGGGTTAGCGTGCCCCCACCCAGCCGCCCGGCACGCACACACTCTCTTTGTCTTTCGCAAGGTGGCTGGTCGTGAGCCTTAGCTCTAACGGTCGCCCGACCCGGCTTTCTCAGAAAGCCAGGTCAGGACTTGCAGCACAAACCTCTCTTACTGTAGGCGAGGAGCCGATGACCCCGCCGAGCTTTCTCGGGGGTCACCTCTCGTCTCCTCCTCCTCCTCCTACTTCTTTCTTCTTCCGGCACCTTGGCACCGGAGGTACACTTAGGGGGGAGCCCTGGGGAACCTCCCCCCTTAAAGGGTCGTAGTTGCCCCGCACAACCGTTAAGAGGAAAATTCAGGGAAGAGGGTAACCAGGAAGCCCTGAAACCCAAGCCCCCTGCAGCCGCGGACCCTGGCCTAGCAACGCACTTACCTTTGAATCCCCAATCCAGGCGGCACCTTCTTCTTTTTCCTCTAATTTCATGCGCGCTCCACGCCTCGTGATCTTCACGGGCGAAAACACGTGCCACAGCATGGGCCTCGCGGAAACTTTCCGGCGAGTCCCGTGGCCTCGCTTCCCACTGCTCCTTCAGGCAGCACGCCCCGCAAGCAGGCAGGGGCGATCACAGTGCCCTGCCCTTTCTGATCCGTCTGGGGGACCCTCATCGCAGGGGTGGGCCGCCCCTCCACGTTGACACAGACCACGTCCGCAACGCGAGGCCTCCCTTGCCCTTCCTTCTGGGACGTCGGAGGGGGTGGGCGTCAACGATCTCTCCCTGCTTGTTGCAACCAGGCTTGCGAGGGGGCCTTTCCTGTTCCCATCCGCAAGGTCCGTCCCCGATCCGATTCCTCCCGAAGCCTTGCACCCGAGACCTGATGGCGGGATGTCGGACGTGCTCGTCCCAGTACTCCTTGTCATGAGCCGCCACCCTGAAGGCGCGCTCCCACGAACAAGCAGGTTGGAACCTAGGCTCCAGCCCATTGTCGTGGTCCTCCACGAGTCTCCGCCGAAGCCGTGGGAAGTGCTCTCCCTGGCACCGATCCTCTGCCACCACAAACAAGTGCCATACCTGCGGGTAGCGGATCACCAGATCCCGGAACCGATCCCTGCAAAGGTCCAGGGTGCTCTGGGTGACCGCCAGTCGCGTCCTTGACCTCGAATATGAGGAAGGGCATTCTCGAACACATTCCAAGATGCAAGCCAGGAGTCGTAGTTCGGGGGCCTTGGGACCTCCACCGTCCTGAACGCAAAGTCCGCGTTGGGGACATGTCCAGGTCCACCAGCCTGACCTTGAGTGCCGACACCTGGTTTGGAGAGGGTTCGGTCTTCGGTCTGACCCGTCCCCCTGTGTACTTCTCGAGGACCTTGAAGTAGCCGTCAATCTCCGAGCGGTTAAGCTCGGGGACCTCGGCCTCGTCTGCCTGGTCCAACACGCTGCTGACCTCGATCTTCCTCTCGGGCGGTTCCAGCCCTGTGCTGGCGGGGGCAGCACCGCGTGGTGCCGCCGCCCCTCCACCTCCCACACCTCCTGGGCCCGACGTGAGGATTGGAGACGATTGGAGTGGGTTGTCAGGAAGAGCTCTGCGTCGTTCTTGTAGGCCTTCTTCCGCGCAACCCTCCACAGCAGCCCCACCGGTGTCGACTCCACGACCATATATAAGCCCCCTTTGGCTTGCAGGGACATGGTCGGGTTGACCGGCGGTGCCCTGCTCGGGGACGGCGATGCGCGCGGCATGAACAGCAAGTCGAAGAGCATCCGCGGGATGTTCCCCAAAATCCGAAGACTGGGGCCCTTCCCAAGCCGACGTCCACGGCCGCCCAGGATCCCGCATCGAGGCCCACCCAATGCCTGCGCTGGGCATCCGTGGGCAAATCTGAAGCCAAGTCCCAGCGGGCCGGAAGCCCAGCTGGTCCCTGGTCACACCCTCGAGCCACAGCTCGTGCTTATCAAGACCCAGCCTCCAGCAAACACTGGGTTGTTATTATTAGCACTTCGTGCAATGCCTCACAGATTCAAAGCAGCACATCCCACAGAAGCAGCATAACACCTCCAACGATGTTATCTCAGATATCTCAGGGACAGATTGTGTTGGGCAGGCTAAATCAACCCCAATTTTAAACGACACATCATCGGTATTGCTTTAAGCTCTAAACTGATGAGATGATGCCGTATGTGATCCTGATGCCGAAGTACGGAGAGGGAGGGTGGGAGGTAGGGAGGGAAGGCAGGAGAGGATCAACAACCATAAGTACAGACCTGAATGCAGCTGCAGCACCGAGCAAATCGAGCTGACGTACACTGAAGTCGACTTCACAGCTTGCCGATTGAAGATCACTGAGACAGCGAGAGAATCAGCGAATCTCTGATGGGGATCCCTAAGAATGCCTTCCTTGACTCGTACCAGGACTTGCTCCAGGTGTAGGTTTGCAAACCATGCCTCAGTGCTGCACGGCATTACCGGAGTTCCCATCTTTTCCAGGGCTTGGCGGTTCACACAGTGCATCCTGAAGTCGTGAAGTGACGAAGAGAAGCAACGGCGTATTCAGAAGTATGCCTGGGATCGGAGTCGCAAGTTCTCGGGCTGTTGCGCCGGCCAGCGTGAGCATGGAATACACGGCGTCCGCGCGGAGCCAGGTCTCGGGTTCCAGGCTTTGAAAATTTCAGTACACTGAGGTGCTGTCATGATCTTTCATGCATCATTATCATGATCCTGCGGCGGGCTTTCGGGGGCACGGCACTACAGCATACAGCACTGCATGTCCTGCAGGCAGCAGTCCATCCTGGGTTATGCATGGTCTCAGCTCCTCACATTCAGTCCAGAGGGGCATGAGAGTACACCTGCAGTTGTCCAGAGCCGAACCAAGCATCCCGGAGGTACAGCTGCAACCCCTGTAAAGCTTACTGCGGACCTAGCGTGAGGGCCAAGAAAAGCTCACCGCAGGGAACCGCCACCAAAGCCTCATGTCAGCGTGCGTTCTTGATGCACTGTGCGGGTGGGTGATTCAAACACTCAGCTGTTCCGGCGCAGATTTCTCGTATCTGAGCTCTCGAGCCCACGCATTCTCCTGAGCAAGCGTGAAGAGCTTCATGCCGCCCACCAGCAGGTCTGCAAGCCTGCATGTGACACATCAAGAACAGCCGCTTGGTGTTGGTAAGATGGCTTCAATACCGCACAGCCATGCAATGCCCAAACACGCTCAAAAATCCCCCCCCAATATGAGAGACTGGACATCAGTGACGAGAGATTGTCCTGGGGCTGTGGCCCTCCTGGCTTGAGCGCAGCTTCCAAAGCAGGCTGCTGGTCCTGTACGGAGAGCTTGGACACTTCTCTTGGCCAAGGCAAGCAAGAGCGACCCTTGTAGCCTGCGGGACGATCTGGGCCTCGACCAGCGCCTGCGGTCACTCTATTACTTTTCGACGCCAGAGGAAGAACCCTGGACTTGGAGTCCCCCGTAATCAGCATGGCACCGAGCTAGAGCAGTCCTCAATGCAGTTCAATACTGATCGAACTTTGGCAGGAAGAAAGGCAGGCCAGAGCAGTTGCAGGTCGCCGGCAAGATTTTCGCTTGTGCTCGTTCGACAGCAGCTGAATGAATTATTGGTCCCGCACCGCCAACACAACCACTTCATCACTTGGACTGAATTTGCGGAAACTCCTCTGCCCAAAGGCCCCTGAGAAGGTATCCAAACACCAAGGATGCTAACGTGACACGGTGCTCAGCCCGCATGCTGAAGCACCCATGGCCACAAGAGAAACTGTTGGGAATTGATTTTGAAGTATTCAGGTTCGTATACTTCGGGCTGTATCGAGGAGGACAGCCTCGCAAAGCAAAGCTGCTAGTGAAATTTCAAGAGGCTCTTGTACTCAAGATAATGCAGATGCCTGCTCTGTCCTGGTGTGTGTGTGTGGGTTGAATCTACAACAGTCTGGCAACTGCTTTTGCACTGCAATTATGGCTGCGGTCTCACTTTCGAAACCGAGCCAGTACACGTGTGATCGCCTGAAGATAAGGTATGTGGTTTTGTGAACCCATGGGCAAACGTCTGCCTACCAAAACTGAACCCTTTTCTCCGAAGTGTCGGGTCAGCAGGCGGAAATCTGACAGGACGCGCTAGGCGAGACAGGATCTCACAGCAAGTTTGCGGACGAAATGCGCCTGTCGAGTTGAAACTTGCTTACAGCATCCTCTACGTTCTTCGACTACAGTGAACAAATTCGAATGATTGTGCTTGGCAATATGCGCTGCCCTCTATCTGCCGTCCGCAGCTAAGTTTGCTGCACGACCCTCATGGCCAAGCCACTCGGCTGCCAAATTAAGAACAGAGTTCGTTCTGCAATCGTTAACGACAAACAAATCCCGCGGCCAGACACGCAGCAATGTGCAATCTCTTCACGGTAGACAATAGATACTGGCACGTGGTACTGAGTTCACACGGCAACCTTCATAGTCGCCGTCACCGTCCACCGCTGTCAGTACCAGCGCAAGGATGCGCAGGGTGCTTACGCCTGCCGCGTTTTGACATGCACTCAACAGCGCTCACTTGCTCTCTTCCATCACGATACCCCGACTTCAAACTCCTGCAATTCCTGCTATAGAGTCTGCTAGAGCTGTCAGGAAGCATCTCAGGCAGTGGGACAAGCCATACAGTTCCAAGCCTCATGACTTGGTGTTCAGGTGCGGTAAGGTGCGGTTAAAAAGCCACTGAGCAAAGCAAACCACGTCTCAGCCTTGCTACGCTTGAGAGCGTATGTCAATGTAATTCAACGTACATGGAAGCTAGACGCCGTGCCGCCTGGCCCCTCCTTGTACCGCACTTGCGACAGAACAGCGCGTCGGGCAAGAAAGTGCTGCCACAATTGCCGCACGTTGAAGCTGCCTGCTCATCAGACAGGTCCGACTCGCGAGCTGTGGGCCCATGTCGTGTTTCCTTTCACCTGCAGAGCACGGCAGCGCACCCCAAGCACCTACAAGATGCGACCTTTGCTTTACGAACAAGGCGACACGATGTAAAATGGCTTGGTCCAATCCACAGATGCGGCTGTCAAAACAAAATCCCCCGAATGACAGTGCCTGCAAGCCGCCACCCACTGCTCCAGTCACAGGTGCATAGCCCTGCGCTGGGTTCAGCAAGTCCTCGGCACGAAGAAAGCTTGCGTTCGAACGCATCGGGTAGAACTTCCCCCGCGGTCTCGCCACTGTCGAGCCGAGGCGGGCTGCGTAGCGTTAGAATTACTAGCATTGCCGAAAGTCTGCTCGAGCTTTGTAGCTGCCTCGGCCTCCCAGCCAGGAGTGAGAGGAGTGAAGGGAGTGAGAGCGAGAGCAAGGCCAAGGCTTCGGCAGGATAGGTGGGCATGTGCTGCACTGCGGAGCCCATGACCTGAGGTCTGGCTGACGCAGTTGGTTGAAGTCGTTATGAAGTCACTTCAATCGTGTCCCAGACTCGCATCACAGTTCCGGAAACAGAGAAGATGAAATAGAAGAGTGCACACATCTACCCCAGTGGCGGCCCCAAGAAACTTCAGCAGAGCTCGAAACATCGGGTGAGAGCAGGCCAAGGCAGCCAGGCGGCCAGTGGCTCCTGAGGTGCCATCGGAGGTTCTGGCACCTGCGAGGCGCTTGGCTGCGAAGCGCCCCAGCTTTAGAGAGATTCCGCGGAAGCTCCACTTTGCGTGCCTTCTTTCTAGGTCCGGACTGCTGTCAATGCTGCGCAGACAGCCAGGCATGCTCATGTTCCAAAGCCTTCGTGACAAGCGGTGCTTGTGCAGCTGCTGCGGTAACCGTGGCGGCTGGCATCGGAGACACCTGCTCATCCAGGAGTTGAGTCGTGTTGTCCAGCGGGCCGCGGGGAGTTGTAGACGAGGGGGGAATGATTATTGAGGGCGGGGGGGTTTATAATTGAGAGGGGGTTAATAAAGCTCACTACTCAGCATCCCCCTGCCGACATTACGCAGAGTCATGTTTCTGCCAGCACTTAGCTTGCATGAACTTCGCGAAGGGGTGCAGAATGCGGCGATCCACTTCGACGGGCTATGTCTTGCAAGTAATGATCCGGGCCGTGCATCTTAGACAGCCTGCAGACAAACTCCAAAACAATCCATGCCAGATCTGAACCGAAGAAATTTCGTCGAATCGGGCCTGGTAAGGCTGGTAAGACATCTGCGGCACCGGCGGCGTTGCCACTGCGAAGCTGGAGGTCATCGGCGCAGCATAAACCTTGAGCTATCACACTTCCACAATCACTTCCACCAGTTGGGGTTGCCAGGCACGGCTGTAGCCCAGTGTGTTCAAGTTGCCTGGGTAAAATCCACTCAACAACCCTGATGCTTCGCCGTAGGAACAGTAACCGCATTTGTCCTAAGCGCGCTATTTTCGTCGCAAATCTCCGAACCGCTGGCTCAAAGCATCTGTCACTCAGCTGTAGCGGCTCCTAGCAGATATTGCTCTGGCAGCGCAACCGGGTGTGAGACGGGTGACCGGTCTTCGGCGGAAACTCAATCCGCAGATATTGCAGCTCATTTTGCTCTCAGAGTTCTCGCTTTGGCTGGCAAGCAGCGGCAAGCAGCGGCAAGCACCGTAGCGCAAGCACCGCGGGTGTGTGCCACGAGTAAGAACACACCCTCCAGCTTCTCCAGAAGCTCTTTCTGCTTCGACCGGCGAGGCGGAGATTCGATTCAGCATGGAGTGAAGTCAAGGCTGCGCTCTACACTGCGCTCTACTCGACTGTCGCCGGCGTCGCCATGGGAGGCTTCAAGCTTCGGACCAGCGGGACCTCAGTCAGAGGCTCCGGTCTGAAGCGCATGCAAAAGGTTTCCCACTCTTCGCAGCAAGAACTCACATGCAGATTTGCGGAGTTCAGAAGAGGATCTCGATGGTAGCCGTTGTACCTTAGCCCAGGATCTGCACGAAACTGCACAAGCGGTGAACCACAGTCCACCAAACTTTTCAGCTGGCTGTCCATGCGCTACAAGTATCTCTTGCGATGTAACACAAGGGTGCCATGATCATCAACGACCTGTGTGACCTTGCCTACGTTTGTGCAGCCAGCTCAGACTCTGCAGACCGACACCGCACTGCCCCCAAACAAGGGGCTATCAGAGCTATTGCAGTCAGAGATGCAGATAGCCTCCCTGCGGTAGAGAAGACTCAGGCCTGGGAAGGCTCGAGGAAGGTCGAAGGTCGCATCACTAGCTGACTTGAAGGCAAAGCGAAAGTGAGAGAGCGAGAGAGCGAGAGAGGGAAAGAGGCGCCTGCCTCAGATTTACCTACAATGCAGACTGCATAGCCGCAACATACTCTCGGCTTTCTGCTCGTGCGATTCAGAAATGCATGAGGTCGGCAGCGTAAGCCAAGCTTATGTGGAGACCCAACCAGTTTGCAGCGGCGTGGCTGGACGTTGCCGCCCTTGTCAATAGCTCTGCACCAAAGTTCTGTGAGAGGAGCTCCAGAAGTCTTGCCAGAGCCCTGCAGTCCAGATTCCACCACAGAACGAAAAGACTAACTAAAAATGCCAATCCTAGATAGGTCGGACTCTCGTGGAGTACAGTGGAGGGTAAACCGGTCGCGGCGCGGGTGTGTCTGTCTTGCTGTCACGCCGAGTGTGCTGTTGGGGGGTTGTGCAGGATCCGGTTTTGCGGCGGTTTGGGGAACTCCATGCAGGAAGTACGGCAAGTCTCCAGCAGTGGAACATTGGCAAAAAAGATCAACGAGTCAAGGTTCTCTCGCACCGGAGCCGCTTGGTGGCAGCTCGACCACCGACTCAAAGCGCACCCAACCTTGGCATCGGCTAAGCTTCGGAGTCGGTTCTTTCTGCTGGCATCTCTCAGCTCCAGGCTTCGAGACGGACCTTGGCGGTCGTCATCTGGTACCTCTTCCTTGCCGCGAGGAATCTACTGCAATCCGATGCTCTCCGCAACAAATGCTAGCAAGTCGCGAAGTGGCAGGTGGCGGTTTGCCAGCTCTGACCTCTGTCCGCCGAGAGCTCCACGGCCTGGATGGGAGACTGCCTCGCGGAGCGACTTGCGCCCATCCTCTCACCGTCCCGCTATTAGGGCTTATCAGCTTCTGAGGCTCTGACCCACCACCGGCGTAGGCGACACCCTTCACCGCCACTGCAGATTTCGATTCATCGAGCCAAGCTCCAGGCTCCGGGGAAAGGATCCTAATTTTGCACGAGTCTAAGCTTTGTGTCTCCGTGATCATGCAATAAGTCTGGACCCTCTAAGTCCAGACCGGACACACAGAGTTCAAGGGCAGGGCATAGATCGGCGCCGATCTCCCCGCTTTGCGGTAGTAGTGGGCCGTCCAAGGGCCGTCGGACTCCTTCCCAATCGCCACCTTCCTGCATGGCGCTGAAGCCCGGAGCGCCAGACCCAGGGAAGTAAAGACTGGCTT